TAATAACACCTCCAAGATCAGATCTTACAGCTTCTGGTATAATTCCTCAATATTAGTTGACTACAGGCATTTAAACAGACCGCGGCTGAACTGCAGCTTGAGCATCTGCAGTGCTGGATGCATCTCGCATCACCATATTTGTTAAAGCAACCTCATGCTCAGCATGACTGATGTTTTGAGGACTGAAAGTCCCTAAATGCTACTGCATGAGCATCAGATGTTAGTTCCTACGCCAGAGTAGGTGAGTTGTCGAATAACTCCTCAAAGGCCAGATTTCACGGCGCATTGCACCATTCCCTTCCTTGCATATTTCATGTCGCACACTGAATTTTGAATAAATTATATGAAAAAATTTCCAAAATGAACATCATTTATGCTACTATAACGGCATGAAAATAGCAAGGAAATAGATTTCAATGTCTTGCCCAAGCTTCCATGATTTATAACAACTTATGTCAGTAAACTTGTGGTGCCGCACCGAATTCTGGCATGATACCGCGAATTACACTCCCATTATTTTTAATGGCGATTTGATCGGCATAGCACTGAACTGGGAGTTCGACTCTCTACCAATATTGTACTACCCTCACAAACACGGAGTGACAACCAAAAGGAAGTATGGCCTTAAGTCATCATCCTCTCCGGGAAAAACGTAGGTATTGCTCTTGGTAAATGCTGATCATGCTGGCACATCCGCAGATTGAATCGTGCATATGCCGTTTTCCGCGTTTCATGGCATTACTCATTCCGCTCTCACAACTCCCATTATATTTCCAGGAATCGAAGAGAAACAGTGGGAACTTTGGATGCCGTACTACCGCGCACAACTCGACTGCAAGTTCTCATCGCATCCCTCTCTCGGTTTCCCATGCGTGTGCGCCTGTCAGTGCAAGGGACGTAGGCGCATGCTTCGGTCGAAACAAATCTCGTTACGTTTTGATTCGGTCGTTACTTGTCAAAAGTAGAATAGTGTAATATTTAACGTTGTTAATGTGCTTCATTAATAACCAGAATACATGCTATTCTATGTAGCACGTCTATGCTTCACCATACCGATTTTGGTGGTTGAGTTGTTCAGTTATGCTTCGTCGTCCATCAGCCATTCATTCAGCAAAGTTTAAGCTTCATTGCGACGATATCTCTGATCCTCCACCGTTCTAAGGGTAGACGGCCTAGAAAAAATTGAGAATGCTTTACTTATGCAGATGTTGATCTCTCTTCTTCCATCCGGATTGCCACCTAACGGTCGGAAGCCCCAGGTACGGCCGAGAATGACCTGGCTCCAGTGATACAGCAAGTCCTGCACTAAACTCGAGTTACCTTCTGCTCAAGCTCATACTCTGACATGGGAGGCGAATGTTGGAGACACTGTCTGACTCGAAACGATAAGAGGTATCAAAACTGGCTCACTACTTACCCGGTTGATGACGGCGGTGCTCGGCGTGAGACAGGCCTTAGCAAATGAAGCATTTTACACCGTTCTTGTTGACCGTTGCTTTGATTCATGGATTCGAAAGCGAAGACCGCCAACTGTTACTTAAATAGGCAAATAATCGGTACCTCTTTGCACACCTAACTCTGAGCCATAAAATCGAGCAAAGATACAGAGAAAATCTCCATGATTTACAAGAATGCAACTGCAAGAGTGAAGCTTCAGAAACACGCAAATTCACAATGGAAAAGGGCATCAAACATGGAGGCGAACTTTCAATGAAGTAATGCAGAACTGCCTCGGAAAAGGCTTCCAAAACACTCCGTTGGGAAAATCAGCGGCTGAGCATAAATGGGTACTACTAAAGCCACTTGTGGATTACGGACAATGTTTTGATGATCTCAAAATCTCCAGATGAACTGCAAAGAATGATCCAGGAGCTAAGCGATGCAAACATCAAAGCAGGATTGAAAGGTGTCAACGCACATAGATATGACGATGCCCGAAACTACGTCAGTCTAGAACACATCATCCCTCTGCAACAGAGAAGTGACAGTTGCAAATCAATGGAAGAATAAGAATGGCATAGGGCATTTTTGGAAGACTGAAGATGTTCCCATGCGAGAAACTGACCTTATGCTTGATACAGAAAATTTCGATTAGTGCGTACTCCCTATAGATGCGAAATTCGTCGCTAAGCCTGAAAGTTATTTCACAAAGACTATGCAAGGAAGCATTTAAAGATGTATGTTTGGAATGACAAGAAAAGATAGGAAGACGAGTGTTTGGGCAGGGGCACAAACAGGAGTCTTCGATGCCATTGCCCTAATGAAGAAATTATAGCGAAAATGGCCAAGACAGGTTGCAAGATGGACAAACTATCGCTGGACGAGTGAAACCTTACATTGAGTTGTATGAGAGTCAACGGGCCATTCGATGTCCTCCGGATCGATGGCATGATGAGCTGAATAAGTTCGATGCATCACCATGCATAAAAATGACAAAAAATTGTTTAAGGCAAAGTCTTGGTTCATTAGCGGATCGATGAATACTAATGATGATGATGATGTGGGCATCTAAAGTTCATCCCTATCGCCGCTTTCCTTTTCACTGTATACAAAAGACAGCATGCTACCTGGCCACGCCTCCTGAAGTACTCTCATGAAACCACTCTAATGACAGAGGGGTGTAATTCGATCGCGTTCAAGCAATATTTCAAAGATATTGTCAGCGTAACTGCTTAGGTGAAGTGATTTGAGGGTGAGGTTGAGCAAAGTCAGATACTTCAGAATACTGTCAAGTGTCAATATGAAATGCTAAAAAATGGCAGACCGCCCCATTTGATCAACGGGAAACCTCAAAGCTGCTCTAATGTCAGCTACACGGCTGCGGAAACATGAATTTCCATTTGTTTTGGCTTATG